TAGGTGAATATCGTGGAAAGCAAGTATTTTTACCTAGATTCCATTTATTCCACTGGAAGGAGATAAGTATTCGGTACCATTTAAGAGAACTCAATTTCCCATTCGTCTTTGTTTTGCAATGACCATTAACAAAGTTCAAGGTCAAACTTTAGATTTCGTTGGACTATATTTGCCTGAACCTGTTTTCTCACATGGTCAATTATATGTTGCTTTATCTAGAGCAAGAACAAGAGAAAACATAAAAGTTCTAATAAAGCCAATGGATGAAATAAAATAACACAATTGTTGCACAAAAAATGTAGTCTACTTTGAAATTTTGAATTTGATACATATTACTTAAGAAATCTATAATTACAAGTTTTGCTTAATTGGACTGTTAATATATTGTTAGCCTAAAAGAGGATATTTTCGCTGCTAATCCATCTTGTGTCAAGGAGAATAATATTGAGCTATACAAGGTTAGTTATTCTTACATGTTATTATGCGTTTCAATTATACTTTATTTGTTAGTACGATTTTTTTCAACACGGTGCATATAAAATGGTCAGATCATTATCTTTAAACATGTCCTTCATAATATTCAATGTTCAACATATCTTTATTTATTTAGGTCAAGTAGTCTTATTTTATGTACACATAAATTGATGTGACAAGATACCAAAAGAAAGGATAAAAAACACAAGTTTATTACATAATATTCCAATTAGTATATTCTGATTATCTACTACAATTAGGACTTACGGGGATGAAGAAAGTATTCGTTATTACAGATTTCTATCGCAATCTTTCGTCTATATATGCTCATCCTATCTGACGAAACTGATTCAATTGGATATCCCAAAATAAAGCATTCTATATATTTGAGCACAAAAATTTCACAATTATGCCTGTGGAAGAAATAGTTTAGTGTTAGAATGAATGACTAAGTTTAGAAAATTAAATATTCTGCTTAAAAACAAGCAACTTAACTGCTTACACATTGTTTGCACAGTTTAGGTAGGGTATAATCTCCTGTTCCATTTGTTTATTCCTATATTTCCTTATATCCCCTTTAGAAGAAAATCGTATTTAATAATGCTTGTACCATAGTCAATAAAGCTTTTGCATGTGCTTTTGCTTAATCCGGTGTATGGACGTTATTACTGCAATCATATATTTGGAATTTCCATTCAGAAATATTGACAAGGAAAAAGTACCAACTATTGCCCGGATATGAGCACGGAATTAATATATACTTGTATCTCATCCAAAGACAACCAAATATAGGTGCTTTGCCATTTACATAACTTTGCAAAAGAGTTCTATCTAGTTCACCTCTGGTGATTCCCATTCCTGTGTCAATAGCCACATCATGTGACGAGCACATTCTGTTTCAAATTTGAAATCCATAATTGCATATTCTTTTGAAACAAGCAGACAACCATCATTTATGAGCCGCGTCAATAGTTTTAACTTTAGCTCAACATTCTGATGAAATAAATAGATATAAATTAGATTATATATATCGACTATGAAATAAAATCTATTGTAATTCATAGACTTTACTTACAACAATATTTATGTCCTGTGTTTGATCCATTAGAGATTTCAACATGTCTCTTCCAAAGACATTGTTACTGCCATCATCCAAGTATGCACTGGATGACATAATTTTAATTAATTTCAAATAAATCAAAAGAGAACTTGAACATTTGAGCTAATACAAGTAAAATTAGATTTATTACTCAGATTGATTCTCCGATATAAAATTTCTAATTTTTATGTATTTTTGCATAGGATAGTCTTCCAGAGGATGATCTGAGGATGATGAAAACTATATTTGTTTTCCCTTGTTTTTCTTCTCTTTTATCGACATTTTAGAGCTTTCAATTTGTTCAACTATTGATATCTCCTTTGGTTTATCGCAAGGAACAACACTTATATCGAGAGGAACATCTTGTTGCATGGAACCTATGATGACTTCCATTCAGATAATGTGTTCAGTGTTTCCTGATTTTGTTTCTCGACATAGGATCTCATTGAACTTAAACTGGTATCAATATAAGATTGCATACTCTGATATCTATCTTCCTGCCACTTCTGTTGCTGTTCGAAAAATTGCCTTTGGTTATTAAGAATTATCTGATAATGATGTTGCATGTAATTTTCTTGTCAATTTTTTTGCTTCTCAAATAACTGTTTTTGGTTTTCAAGAACCGCATGGTGGTAAGCTCTTGATTTTTCAGCAAATTCTGCCTTCAAGTTGCTATATACACCAGACACGTCTGATGCTATGTGTTACCAAAGATACTCAACCAATTCTTCCATTTTATCTTCACTTAAGGAGTTGGAGCCATTGCGAACAGAGCTAGATCCAAATACAGCTGAAGATGTAGAAGTACCGGGAATCGTCTTTCTTGCACATATATATTGTCTGGGATTTATTTTACTGCATTATCTAATACTCCATTTACAATCCCATCTAATCTACTGTGTCCATTATCCACTGGCAATAAAAGAGTTCCGTACCAAAGACTATGTAATTCTTCTTCATTAGGCTGTAGCACAGCAATCACTCAAATCTGTAATCAAATTGAAATACCAAAATCGTTTATTTTGAGTTTAATTTTATTTTAAGATAATTGAATGTGAGAGTAATTGTACATTCATAAAAACATACATTACGAGTAGACAAAAAAAGCTTTATCTCCTTTTCAGTTATAAATTGGTTGGATTTCCACTTGTATATTCTTGGACTCTGTGGTTTTTTATGTCAACGACATTCAAATTTCTTTCCAATCTTTGGAAATACTTCATATATCCAATACTACAAGATAATTAAAAATAAATATTATATGTATAAAAACATTTTATGGGAATAAATTGTACATAATAAGTCAATACAAAAATAGTGACTAATTACCTGGAATGCAAGTGGATACCCATGTAATGCATACTTGCATTCTGTTTGTTCATTCCATTGTATCATTTGCATTCTCTCAGATTGTGATGCTTTCAATGAATATAACAAGATTAAATATGCTTTGCGACCCTATGGATATGCAAGGAACTTATTCAGATGCTCAACTATACAATAGTTCTATAATTAATTTGTCTTGAAGTGGGTGTCAACATACATTCGACCAATATGACTAAACCAAGTTTCAATTTATTTTCTTCATGTTCGCACGCATGGAATGCTTCAAAAAGCATCCTCATACTGATTTGACTTGTACCATTAAAGTATTAATTTCTAAGACGGTCATTTGTATCATCAATGCCCATAGATGGTTCATGGCAAGGTAATTCAGTAATAAGACAAAATTCTTGTATACCAAATCTGGCTACACGATCGTCTAACCTTACCCAAATTTCATCATTTTCCCACAATTCACAAGCCTCAATATAAATTCGTGCACCAATCTATTACTAAATTGTACATTTTTTCCTTTGTAAAAAGCTCCATAAAGAAATCCATAAAAATTACTGCACATCAATGAAAATTGCTGATTCGAATCTATAAATTCTACAAAGTCTTTAAGATATTTGAAATTTAGATACTGGATAATTGTAGTAGAAAACCATTGATTCGGAGAAATTATGTATTCTAGAGATATCTGCATAAATTATTTCAAAAATCATATCGTATTTATGAATGAATCTAAAAATTAAAAATAGAGAAACTTTTTTTAAGAGTTCCAAATAAACATTATATTTTCATAACCTATACATGCATAAATATTTTAAAATCGATAATAAAATATCTTATCTTCGTGTCTAGACAGTTCAGACAATTCATGACATAAAATTCGTGACATGAAATTAGGCCTTGCCTCCCTGATAATAGATGTCAAGCCTCTATATTACGGAGGCCAACGCCTGGCCTCCGTAACACGAAGGCCTCCGTAATCACGAAGGCCTCAACAAGGCTTCCGTGATTATGGAGACCCATTATGGAGACTTGGGTCTCCATAATCACAGAGTTCTTATGGGTAAAATTATTGCCCATACACAGATCTGTGCAGATATATACAAGTTTTTTCGATTGTAAATTTTTAAGTAAAATCGTTACCTTTTCCAGCCAATTTCAGAGCTTCTCCTATTTAAATCTACGGATAGTTTCTCTTGCTAAATGTATAGATTTCTGGGACTCAAAATATAATAATTGAGCTATATACCAACCACAAGATAAAAAGATGTCACATGTGAACTGTATATTATTGTTGTTTTATGCATTTGGTCAATAATCAATCAAGTATTTTTGTTGTGTTATGAAATATAAACTATTCACACATTTTATACAATCTCAAATCTACGTCTTTGTTTGAATTCTTCAATTTCATACACAAAATCATACATCAACATATTCATGCGTATTTAGATATTTACAATTCAATTTATTTAAGCTAAAAAAATAATTGAATCAAATTTTCCTTCCATTACAATGAAGGTTTGTAGCATGAATACTTTTTCCCCGGTGAATACAACTTAATTTAATTCAGAGCCATTCTAGTACCATGTTTAAACTTTTGACAACCTATGTCTATGTTCAGTCATTATGAATCAATAGAGTATGGGTATGATAAGATTTTACCGTGTAAATCCTATCTTTATCCTTTTTTAATTCAAATTTTGACGCCCTTTTATTAAATTTATAATAGGGAGAACGAATAAAATATAGTTTTACATAATTTGCTCTAAGTGTAAATCTTTGAACTCACGCTATTTCTGTACTATCAGTAAATGAATATTACGAGTAATCTCCATATCTCATGCAGACAACAAGTTATGACAGTATATGACTAATAATAAGATTTTACGCAGCACATACTTGTATTACTTTTTATAAAAAAATAAAATTAAGAATAGAAGATAAAGTACGGGAAACCAAATATGATATAATCTTACAGTCTATATATATCTTCTTTTATTTGTCAATTTGATATCTCAAAATAGTTTGCGATAGAAATCTTCATTTTGTGTGTATTTTGCCTCTATTATTCTGTTACGAAATTGCCACGATGGAAGAACAATACCAACTTCTACTAGAAATTATTTCTAACAATCAAAAGTGGAAAACTAAAGTGATTGTAGTTGAAAAACAATCACCAAAGCATTCGAGACAAGGCAATGGAAGGTACCAGCTTTTGATATTAATGGATACTCAGGTAACTCTTTTTCATACATTTTTTCTTCATTTCTTTTTGTTTTTTTTTTTTTGTTTTTTTCCTTAATCTAAGATCACCTATATTACAGTTATTTATATGGTTCCTTATCATTTTTCAGGGTAATACTATTCATGCTAGCTTATATGATTCCAATATCACTGCTTTTGAGGATCAACGTTTTCTAGGAAAAACTTATACCATTTCGAAAGCTTATGTGAAGAACAATACGACAAACTACAGATATTCGACTGGCTCTCTTCAATGGACAATAACTGGAAAAACTCGTATTGAAGAATTGAATGAAGATAATCTAGAGTTTGTATTATCAACATATCAATTGACACAGTTTCATGAACTCTAACAATACATGGATACAGATGCTGATTTAAGTAAGTCAAAATTTCATAGATTTTAAATAATCATATACTGATTCTACAAAATATAGTTTCCTTCAAATTTGTACAGATTATGTTCAGAAAAAAGAAAATTTAATGGCTCATTTCAAATTTGCAGATATACTTGCAGTTGCAGTTGATATGACGCCCAAACGATTGATTCAATCCAAAGATGGCAACCAAACTTGGTTGCAAGATATCATACTTCTAGACATGAATTTCAAAACAATGATGCTTACACTTTGGGATTCATTTGTTGACAGAGAATGCTTACTGATAGCAAACATTATTGACAAAAAACCAGTTATATTTGCAACCCGTCTAAAGGTTACAGCATTATTTGGTATATTCTATTGTATTATTTAAACTCCTCTTAAGGTATATGTTACATCCTTTACACATTCTCTATTTCGATATTATATAGGTTTAAAATTGTCCATGAAAGTCCGTTCCACTTTCTTCATAAATACACCTTTCAACGCAGTAAAACAAATGACAGAATGATATGTACAAAGTGCTATATTTTATTATTCTTTTTTTCCCTCTCAATTATTTTTCCACACATTACTATTGGAGTTACTAATTGTTTTCATGTCTTTTGATTAGGGTAAGAACAAATTTCATTAAAATAGATGATTTTGTATTGAAAAAAATCATACATGGACAAAAGCCCCACAAATCTTTCTCCACCTGTGCCTCCTATTCAAAATCTTCAGGGACGCTTTCTAGCGGTAATACTAAGGTTACGTGTGTTATTCAATCAGCCTATATTTATTTCCTAATATAAAGATATATATTACAAGATATACTCAATCATATTATTTATTTTTCCTATAATTTCTCTAAGTATATCTATACTGGTAACAACAAAAGTTTTATTGGGTAAACGGTACAGCAACGACAGGCAAACTTGATAGCAAATCTTGGTACATGGCTTGCAACAACTATTTTAGACGGTCGAATGTTGATTTTGGAGAAACATATCTTTGTATTTTTTCCAAGAATCCCAATTTCAAAGTTATTCCTCGATAAAATACATTAACAATTAATTACTTTTCATTTTTTACTTCATTTGGTGCAGGTAAAATATTTACTTATGCATGAAATTTCTACTTCTCTTTGTTACTCTTGCATCTATTATTACTAATTTTTTTTTTTCACTTTAGGGGTAGAGCATATGTGCAGTTTTCAGATGTCACGGAATCAATCAGTGCAAATGCAATTGGTAAACCAGCTGAGAAACTATTATTTATAACTTTACAGTCTTTGATGGAAGAAACCAAATTTGTAAGAAATCCAACCTATCTCAAACATTTTGCCATTCAGTACATATTTTAGTAGAATAATATTAATACAATTTAAAATTAACACACAGAGTTCAAAGACAAACTTCGAAGCAACCATTAAAAAAATGCAGGATACTGAACGAGCTTTCTACTTAAAAGCATCGCAAAATGAACCTAATTCATCAAGTTATAGATTTGATATCATCTCTGTAACAGACTTAGACCATCCAAGTCCAAGACAAGAAATCCAAACAAATATTGACGATACAAGTCTTGAACAAAAAATCCAAACAAAGGTTGACAGTCGGGTTGTGGTTACTGCAGTTGGGAAAAATGTTATTACATACTATCAAAAAGATTGGTCACCTCCAGAGAAAAAAGTCCTTTTCAAATCTTCTAATGATAGTTCCAGTTCAAAAGTAGCTTGTGATGAAAACATAAGTTCAGACATAAATCCATTTGCTCACAAAGAAAAACTGGAATAAATAGTAGTCGAAATCTTTTCCATAAAACCAACCTTATGACAAGAGTATGCTGTTTGGTTTTGTGAAATTTTTGCTATTTCGTTTTGTGAAATTTGTCTTCATTGTAAATTTGATCTTGGAATTCTATGTTGTTAAGTATGTATAATTTCCTGATCAAAAGCTGCCACACAAAAAAAAGTAATGACAAATGATGTATATGTAATCCCTATATCATCTATCTCGAAAATCAGTCATTATTTATTTTATCTTGGCTATACTCTGTAATTAACGATGGTAATAAAGTTAATTTTTATTCTCTCATATCTATCATTGACTGTAATACAAACACATTATTAACTACGATGAATTTACAAATTTACAAATCACAATCAAACACATCAATATATATACTATTATCTCAATTATTTGCTGGTTAGTTCTTTGCCAATAATTCCATCTTTCGATATATTTTCAAACATATTCAATAACTACGCTAATCAAACCATAATTCATGCACAGCTCGTGCATCGCATGTAACATAGACTAGTAATATATTATGAGTTGGTGAATCTTATTAAATGTATGGTTAAGAAGTGAATAAAAGTTGTGAACTAATGATATGTGTAGTTAAAATTGAGGATTGACCAACTAATATTTGTCCAACAAGAGCTTAAACCCTCCAGTTCTGCTTGTTTCTTCTTCTTTGATTTTGTCTTGAAACAAAATTTTCTTTCGCTCCAATTCTAAAATGTACTTTTTCTCTTTCTTTCTTATATATATATTATTTATTATTTAAAAAAAAAAGAAGAAATCACGCACCTTTCACTCTCGAAGGCTTTCATTCTCAAATTTTAATTTAAAAGTACTTATAAGGGGAAGATACGTGCTCTATTTCTCCATTTTCTTTAGAAAATATTTTGAAGAAGACAAGGACCGCAATGATTTCCCAATAAAGTTTTCAAATCGATTTTCATTTGTTTTTTTCCCCATTTTTAAAATTCATTTTCTCTTAAGCTAATTTTCTACCTCACATTTTATAAGATTCAAATCAATTTTTCAATCAAATATTTCATCATTTTTTACTAAAATCTATCAAAAATTTAATTTTTAAATAAATCAAACAGGAGCTCAGGAAATCCCTTGAAGAAGCGTCACAACATCATTGTTCATTATTGCAAGGCCTACTCTAATATGAAAATGTCTTTTTCATATTGTAACATTTGAGTTTTGATTTATGAAACGATATTCAGTAGAATGTAACATCTTTTCAGTTTATCGTCAATATCTAAATTTCCTTTTATTCTCGTTAATCATAACATACTTTTTTGTCAATAATGGAGTGGATGAAAAAACTCATCTACATGATATTGGACAAACCGACCATTATCAAACAGTTCAATAATTACTAATATTGTTATCAACTTACCACAAAAGATAAGAAACCCTAAAGAGAATGTATTGTAATGTAATTCACTCAACTTGGAAATATTGAATTGCTTGATACCATCTCCTATTAAAATAAATTTACCTCAATTGGATTCTAATTCGACTGCAATGACATTGAAGCTAAAAATTATGATTTAACTGTGCAAATTATATTATAAAATAAAGTACAGAGGAAGCATGATTTATTTGATTTATAAGAAGGTTTTAAAACATCGATGACATGAGTTAAACTTCTAGTTTAAAGTTTATTGTTGGTAACAATGACTTGACCCTTCAGGCTGAGGTGCGAAAAAGTTGGTACTTGATACTATCTTTTGACTCACTTAACTTTCAGTTATCTTTTAAAATGATTTTGTATATCTTTTCGATATTTACATTATGAAATAAGATTGACATTTTGAGGATGGTTGGTCGATATTTCATGATCAGGCGTCCAATGCTTCTAAAATAAAAGTCACTTGTACAAAAGTTTGCTAATTTATAAGTTTAGACAAACATGTCTTAGCAAATTTCCACCACAACATACATAATACAAATTACAAAATTGTCAATTGTGACATAATTTCTCTAAACCGTTGCATTCACTTTCTTTATTATGTCCTTTGTCGTATCAAACTCTTTATATAAACTAAAAAATATCTTGAAGAGCTACTCATCTTCCACCAATTATCTCATTAAAGTCAATTTTTCAGACTCAAATACAAGCATATAACTTTTCGGTAATTGCGATAAAACAGAAAAAAAGGATTTTCCTCGTGAGATGTCCAATTTTCAACGAGTTATTATTTGTTTTCCAATTTGACCGTCCTTCACTAAAATGTACGCCTACTCGATTTGTTAATAGTAAGACCTTATAAAATATATTATAAAGTGACATTTAAAATAATAGAAACGATTGCTACAATCTGCAAAGTTGATAGTCATAAATCAATTTACTCAAAACTCGATTTTAAAGAGCTGTAATTGTATCCACCGGCGCACAATAGCCTCCAGCATGGACGTCCCCGAATCACCACCACCAAATTCCTCCACCGCCGCTGCTGCCACCGCCGCCGCTGATCTGGTGGAAGATCCGCTCTCCAACCCATATTCCTCCCTCAATTCCCACTGCCACGAGTTATCCACCCTCCAGGACCTCGCGTGTCGCGGCTCGTGGCGTACTGTCCTCGACAAAGTTGCACGCGCTCGATCCCTTTCCCTCCTCAACAAGCCCCATGAACACCTAATATACCTTACCTTCAACCTCCTTGCCCTCATCAAACTCCGCCGCTTCTCCGATGCCCAACTAGAACTCGAAAACCTAGACGATGATCTGGACTCCAGGCAGTATTTATTCGAATCCTATCCTCAACAATATCCAAATCATCACCCGGGATCCATGGTTCCTTTTGCGCTCCGTTGGCTACAAGCCCACTTGCCGCTTACCCTCGGGAACCGACAATTATCCCTTGACCGCCTTTACTCTCTCCTACATTTCATCCGGAATAAGAAATTAAAACCCGTATCCCGCGCCATTGATGAGCGTGATAATAAGGGTGCTAGTGATGATAATGTTTCGCAGGGGATCTGGAAAAAGCGTGAGGGATTGGTAATTAATACGATTATAAGTTATCATTTGAGCCAGAAGGAGTTTAAGGTGTGCTTGGATTTGTTGAGGGCGGAGATAGGCGAGAAAGAGGATCCCATATTGTTGTCTAAGTTGGGTTGTGTGCAAATGCAGTATGGGGATTTGGAAGGGGCGAAGATGAGTTTTGACGCGGTTGAAAAAATGGTGGCTGGGCATGAGACTAGTGATGTGAGCTTGAAGAATTTGGTTAGTAGGAATAAGGCGATGATTTACTTGGTGGGAAAGGATTATGTGTCAGCGGTAAGGGAGTATGAGGAGTGTATAGAGAGGGATGGATCAGATGTTGTGGCGATTAATAACAAAGCTCTTTGTTTGATGTACTTGAGGGACTTATCGGATTCAATTAAGGTATTGGAGAGTGCATTGGAGAGAATTCCGACAATGGCACTGAATGAGACACTTGTAGTGAATTTGTGTAGTATGTATGAGCTGGCTTATGTGAATCACGCAGACATAAAGAAGACACTTAGTAATTGGATTGCGAGAGTGGCTCCCGATGATTTTGATACTTCATGTACCCGGATATGAGGTATAACTGTTTTCAAATGTTATGGCTTTTGAGATTAGATTTGGTTTCATATTCTTTTCTGTTTGTAAAATGAAGTAATCTGTTTGTGGAATTTGACCACCTTTCTGTTTCTTTATGAATGGTAATGAGTCTAATGACCATATCTTAAGATGCCACGATACCACCATACTTCTTTTAATACTGTTCTTCCATTTTGTGATACGAGGATTGAGTGGTGTATTTTTTACATGATGAGTTTGCGAAATCTATAGAAGTTTATTCATGTGTCAGCAGCCTTGTGGACTTAATAGAGATGGGGTAGTCTTCTTAAGTAGGATTTTGTATATTTCGAATTCGGACAAGTTAGTTCTAAGTTTTTGTATGTTCTAGTGGTTTTTAACCTAATATATGTTTCTGCATGTTGTTTTCATGTCAGTGTTGATTTGCAAATGTCAATTCTACAAATGAAGTTACGTGCATCTGCACCTTTTATAAAGCAACTGTAAGGACTCTTCCTGTATAAGTATAGTCTGACTTGGAGCTGTTAAGTCGAAAAACGTTAAGTTTTAAGAAACCGGATCGCTTTGCAGTAAAAATAATTAGCAGAAAATTAAAAAGATTCAAACACAAAGATATGTTTTCGCCCTAAAAAGGGCTCGGATGTTCAGTCTTGCGACCTAATCACCGGTTGAGCATCACCAAAAGGTGATAAAGCTCAAGATCCACTAAGTATCAACCAAAAACAGTACAATATGTACTTCGAGTTTCCTTTCACCTCTATTCAAAAAATTGTAATCCAACTTACTCTCAATCGCTAACAAACTATACAACACAATCAGAAACCATCACTAAGATTACAGATTGAGAAATCACCAAGAACATATCGAATTACAGTAACCCAAGAATCCTAATCTATCATTCAGAGAAAAGGAGAGAAAAGCGAAAGGTTGAAAAACTTCGAATGGTCTAGAATCAGGGCCAAAACCAAGTAAGTATCTAATCAGTCAACCATCCAAGGGTGAGGGTGAAGCCACGTGTACGGCTGAACCTCAACCATTTAAGAGGCAAAAGCGTGTCTCTCTAAAACGCGTTTTATAACTCGAAATTAATTCCAACAGACCAAGCCCACAAGTCTCAATCTGGGCCAGCAAGAAATGGTGAGGCAACCCAACTAATATAACAATCTCCACCTTGTTGAACTATTTATTGGTCTCTACTAGTGAATCTAGAGCTATAGCTGCACAAAAAAAAAAAAAAAAAAAAAACCAAACAAAAAAAAAAAAAAAATAAGGGTCTCGACAGCTAAGACAAAGTATTGGTGATGTGTGAGAAATTCCAGGAACCAAGTTTTATAAAAAAGACGAAGACAGGCAGCATATCAGAACAGGAAGTTCCCCAGACAACTTCAGAGAAAAGCACAGCAGAAATTTTGGAACTAATGATTTTATTGGGTGTAATTCATGATGTAATATCATGTGATCTCAACTGAATTTTCCGAGTATGAAAGGCAAATTTGTCTAAGGTCATTTGAAACGATTACAAAATGGAATAGCTAGTGTTTATGAAACACATTTTACATCCCTCGAAGGCTACAAAATATAATTAAGTTGTAACTGGGCAAGGGAAAAACTATTAAAAAGAATTGTATAGATGGGTCTTAAATTCCCGTCTCAAATTCATGAACTATGCCAGCAAAACTGAATGTTCCCTTGGCTTCAATCGTGTCTATCCAGGAACTTCTCTATCAGGACTGAAAATGCAGCAAAACCAGCACAACCAGCACATGCCGCTTTTGGACCCCCTGAACAAACCCCAAGATAGATTCATTTAACCAATATTCAAATGGAGAAGACACAATCAGCAAATCTGAATTATGCAAATAATATCAAGCAACAATTTGAAAACTTAAAATGCTACATGATATATCAATTCTCTCGTTACCTTAATTAGTATAACATAAGATACACTGCCTAATACATACAGAACTAAATCTGAGTAAATT